AAGTCATTTCAAATGCATTAACCCTGCTTTGGGAAAAAGAATACCTTTCAGCCACTGCGAGGAGTCTTTCTGGTCTGAATGTTCCCTCCGTGTCAATGTACATGGCTTTACCTTCACCCCCCCCTTGATCAATGGGCAGCTGGGGACAGATGAAAACAGGAGAACCTTCTTCACAAATAAAGCTGATCAACATCTTTCTTTTTTCAACCTAAGAGGCCTCATAAAACACATTCAGCTTCCCAATGATCAAAACCAAACACCTGTCTGCTTTCCCAGCTGACCTTACCTGACAGGTGACTGCAAGCGTGTGGCAAAGTTGAGTTTTTCCCGTCCGAAACTCCCCAAACATCTCTGTTATGGAGCCTGTCTCAATCCCACCTGCATGCAAACCACTTATTAGAACCATCAGCTGACACAGGAAGGTTTTCTCCTACAACAACTGACTGAAACGTGAATGATGAACAGGAAAATCACCCTGCAGGAGTTTATCGAGCTCCTTAGAGCCGGTAGAGATCTGGATTATCTCTGCTCTCCTCTGGTGGAATTCAGTCGCTGTGGTGAAGCCCATAGGTACCAATTTGGCAGCTTCTGTCTGAGAAAAGAAAGAAAAATGTAATCAGACTATATATGTAAATGTACACACACACACACACACATAAATATATATATATATATATATACACACACACACACACACACACATACACACACCTAAACCCTAGCCCTATACATTTCTTCACGTGTGTGTTTCATTCTGAGCTTCTTACTAGAACTTTGTCAGCCTTGGCCTCGCTGATGCCCTTAATGTTGAGCAGCTCCTTCTTGGGTGCGTAGGCCACTGCTTCAATGGTGTGGAAACCTGCATCCTCCAGCTTCTTGATGTCACTGGCACTGATTCCACATTGCTGTAAGCCAAAGAACCACAGAATGAGTCAGGAGCAATTTGGCATCAGATATTAAACTGAGCAACAAATATTTGCAGGCCTTTTTTCTATATTCTTTTCCACTGTTTGTGTAACCCAATTATCCACACGTTTGTGTAAGGGCGGCTTAAATACAATGATAAAAAATCTCAAATATATATAATTACAATTTTCATACTGTACAATGCAAACTGCTGCAGGGAAACTATCTGTGTAAGTAAAGAGCAGGTACAGCTGAAGGTCCACAGTGCAGCAGAAAGTGCCCACATGAACATGTTCTTCACAGCTAAATTTAAAATAATTAAAAAAAAAAAAAGAACATGTACATACAGTAATGCTTCTAATAGTAGGAATTAATGCCAAACTAACTTGATACTTTTTGCCCTTTAAGCTGCTGGTAACCTTAATTTCCTGAGGGAGTCTTCCCAAGGGATCAATAAAGTACTGTCTAAGTCTAATTCTAACAAACCAATGTCTTTAACTTCTATGGTACACAGTGGGGGTGTTAAATGGGGCCCGCCTACCTCCAGTCTGCTCAGGGGCTGAGGCCCGCAGCTCTCCTCCTCCTCGGCCTCCACCTCCACCCGGACGTCGCTTCTGGTCGCCATGGCCTGAAACCCACGTCCTGGTCAGCAAGCTTTAACCGTCCCACAAAAGTAGGCCTTCATTCAAACACCCAGCTAAAGTAGGCCTTCATTAAAACACCCAGCTAACTGCTATTTAGCAGCTACAGCCTACCCATGTTAGTGCCACAGCCGTTGTATTGTTACTTACTCGTTGTATTTCCGTCTAACTTCCTTTATTTGTGAAGTATTTCCTTTAACTCAGACTTAACCCACTAGTTAGCTTAGCTTGGGAACTGTTTTGTCCGTGTGGGTAAAAGAGACTCTTTGTAAATGGTCGGTTTCTTGGTGTGGATCAGATCATCTCACCCCGAGGTGAGACGGGCTGAAACCAGCCAAATAAATGCTGCACTCAAAGAAAATGTCAAACGTTTAAGCTCCCTCGCTCAGCCTACCCATGTTAGTGCCACAGCCGTTGTATTGTTACTTACTCGTATTTCCGACTAAGAATGGCCTTTAACTTAACCCACTAGTTAGCTTAGCTTGGGAACTGTTTTGTCCGTGTCGGTAAAAGAGACCGGAACGACCAGCTCAGCACAACAAGTGCCCCTCCGTTAGTCGGAATCCCTTCTTACAATGGAGGAGTTCATCTGAACTTCGTGTGGTTTCCACCTGCTCTACTACAGTCTTGTTCCCTTCAAGCTTCAAACTGTGTCCAACAACAAACGCTCCCGCGCAGAACCGAACGGAATTATGTCACACGTACGTAGGCGGAAGTGACGTCAAACAGGAAGTCTCCCTGCAAACGTCCCGGAAGTCAGTTTTCTACTATGTTATCCTTTAAGTGTAGTCCAGATATGATTAGATTCACTACAACTTGAAACAAAATTCTTCCTTTCAAACGTTTCTAATGTCTAATAGAAGAAAAAGCACCGCTCAAATTACAGTAAAGTGCCAAAGAAAAAAATATGGAGAAATTAAAAAACATTTTATTTTAAAGGTCTTTCTGGGCTATCCATCCACGGAAAGATTGTTAGACTGTAAATGTTTTCTATCATTATTTGTTTTGTTTTCATTTTGAAATTCACCTCAACTCACTTACCTTTTAATCACCGTTACTTCTACATAACTTTTGTAAAAATTGTGTGATTTATGAACTGTAAAAACAGCACTCATAAGTGTCCAGAGAGACAAGATAAGACATTTGCTTATCAGTCTTTGACCTCGAGAAGTTGTATTGTTTTATTGATATGTAGGACACCATTTTCATGTAGCAACTTTATTAGACTGCCATGGATAGAGTAGCCGAATTCAACACCACTAACTACTGTAATACTGATATATTTTTGATATGACTCCGGCACTGTGGATAAGGAGCCCACAAAGCCAGGAGCTTTTATTGAGCCAATAATAATAACAGAAGTTTCAGTGATGATGATGATAGGAGAGACATGGGCTTGATAACACATAAAAAACATCTTTAATAAATGACACAAAATGTTCTAAGCAACCACATATGGTGTATTGTAAGATGGCCGGCTTCAAACTGATGATGTGACGAAGCTCCAGGAAAGACTCTACTGACAGACTAACAAACTGACTGAAGGAGGGTTTTATTTTCATCCAGGCCCATATCAGAAATACAGATCAATGCATCAGATCTGAAGAGGTCCTGAATGTTGAGGCTTTCCTTAACTCTGTCCAAACTCTTCTTACAGCCGTTTAAACAATTCATATTATCACTCTCGCGATGTAAATACAATACATATCTTGTCTTCTTTTTAAGTCTTGTGAGTTCTCTCTTACAAATGTTTTCACAACAGCTTGAGACTCTTATGGGATTTCAGTTCCAGTCATATTGCTGAGTTTCACAGTCATGCAGCCCTCAAAAGCCAAGACCTGATATGGGATGCATATGGGCCAGCATTAAACAGAAGTCAAGGGGCTCCATTTCAGTTGGAGACTTTGTGGAAGCAAATATATGTTTTCATTGGTTACGGACACCAAGAGTAACTGAAATCCTTGACATAAGCAGAAATGAGATGAGATGCTAACTCTTTAAAATACACTTTATTAGTGAATTTAAAACTGTAAAATAGATTTTTCTTGAAATAGTAAAAATGATGAGATTTTATTGGGTTTTGCACATTTCCTCTTGTTTGGGGGAAGAAGGCCACCACTCCACGTTTTTGTCAGGTCCCACAGCTGCCTCTGCAATGAATACAGCTCACATTAGAGAAATGATAACTTAGGTTTGATAGATGTTAACTCAAGCTGGTTTCCAGCAAAATAGAGGGGTTTTATATTTATGCGTTTATAGATGGACCACAGTTCTATTGACCAGTAAGTGGTTTATAACCCTCACTTTGTTTCTTAAGGCTAGAGTGCAGATTAATCAAATCCCTCATTCTGGTGAAAATGAACACCCTGAGAGGCCCAACTAACAAATCAGCACTTTCCCTGCTCTGCACCAGTTGTGCCTGGACTGGAGGAGAGGAAATCCCTAATCAAATAATCTTCGTCTTTCTGCCACAAAGGACAGTCGTGATAAAGATGTTCTACAGCACAATGTCGGTCAGGATTGTCTGTAACGTACCTGGAATGGTTCCAAGGCTGGAGTTATCAAAGAACTGTTTGGGACAGGTTCTGGACAGCAGCTCTGAGCTCTCACAGGCATCAAAGAACCTGCTCTTAGGGGAGTCCAGCAGGGACAACTTTGGCGAGTTTGGCTCAGTGATCCTGCCGGGCGCGAACAGAATCTTTCTGGGTGAGCTGAGGAGGTGGGAGGCTTCTGAAGTCATGGGCAGACTCCTCTTGGTGGGAGTGCAGGGGGATGAAGGTTTGTCCCCCCCAGCTTTGCTCTTCATCCTTAGACTTATGGCTCTGTTCTTCCACTTACTGATCTCTGCTTGCTGACTAAATGTCAAGCTGATGAGACAGGGAGACAGAGGAGAGAGAAGTTTACAATGTAAACCAGCTTTCAACAGAACGTAAATTTGGTTTCATGATGACTGAAAAAATACATTTTCCCTTCATGTTAATTCATAAATAAGCGTGTGTGAAAACTGTGTATAGAAAACATTTAGAAATGATGTAAACTTATGTTTTTTCCCCTTTGTTTTTCGCTAACCATGGCTTTGTAGCAGGGAACAGAGCTTTTGTCCCTTACAATAGACTTAGTTTTTTTATGTATTTGGAAGAAAATCAGACACTTTGAATTTGCAGTAAGTCTTAAATCAAGACAGCCTTACCTTTCTAGCTCGCTGATCTTCAGCTGAAGCTGTTTGACATCCTCCTCCAGCTTGGTCTTTTCCAACAGAATGCTGCTCTGTGTTACCACTCCTCTGGGTTTAGTAAGTCTGGAACAAAGTTCTTCCCCCTGCAGAACTGAATTAAACACAACTACGTTATCGTCATCAAATATATTCTAACAGTGATGAAAGCGTCATGCTGATACAATGTCATCTTAATATTTCCTTAGTTAGAAACCTCTTCTGCCACTTCCATACATGGCTATATGACCCTGAGCTTCTGGCCCTTCATGGCTGACCAATCTGAAAAGCATTTGGCAGGTGCCGGAACCCCCTACTTTGAAGATACTATGAAGACCAATTGTTCCGGTCAAAATAAATCTTGGTCTGGTGCTACCAGCATACCCTCTTTCAGCAGGTGATGTGGCTGCTGAAGCCAAGCTACATCCCCACACCAACACAGAGGCTGGGGGGAGGGAGAAAAATAAATCACATCTAGATAAAAATCACATCTAGAAATGGCAGAAAGGTGCTAACCCTCCCAGGTATGCAGAGTTTGCAGCCTGGTGCTCACAGTGCCTCTTTGAGGCCAGCCTCTCGTGGAATCAGAGACCAGTTAGCTTAAAAAGAACACCTTTTCAAAAAGCCAGAAACCCTGGCACTCTTCTTGTGCTTTACTTTATACATCCTACCTTGGTAATTAGTCATGCACTTCAGTACAAAACCAAGTGCAGACATTCAGCTTAGCTATCAAATCTCACTTTAATTTAAGGCGAAAATTTCTCATTTGACATTGAATGATTAGTAACGAATATGTTTTCAAAAGTTCTTCCCTCTGTTTTTAAAGTAAAAAACAGAAATAACATCCACATTTGACTGCTAACTTACTTGACTCCTCCCCTTGCTGTTGGGACCTCCTTAGAGCCTCCTTTAGCTTCCTCAGTGATTCTTCCTTTTCTCCTAACAGTTTGGTCATCCTTTGTATCCTAAGAGGAAGAGAACCCTATCAGTAATTATCAAGAGGAATAGTAAAAAAAAAATCCCTCCAGTAAAAAGGAAATAAAAGGGAATAAATAAAAGGAACCTGTGGAAAAGCTCCAATACTATCATATCATCTTAATATTGGAATAATTTGAAAACTAGTGAGGACAGATGAAGTCAAAAGGCTCTTACTCCTGTTGGTGATCATCCAATACTGAAGTCAGCGTCAGCTCCATTTTGAACAGCTTGTTCTGAAGTTTCTCCAGCTCAAGTGGAGCAGCTCCTGCTGTTTTCTGCTGCAGAACACAAAGAGCACCATAGAGGCTGGTCAGTGGAAGAACAAGACACCCCCAAACTGGAAAAAATGACATGCTTTTAAGTATACTTCAGACTGCTGTAGTTTTCTCTTCAGGCTTTGGATGGTGTTCTCTTTCTCCTCAACATGGGTCCGACTGTCCTGCAGCTCAGTCTGTAGGAGCTGGGTGGCCCGTTTGTGGCTGGACAGCCTGTCGTTAGCGCTCTTCTCTACTTCCTCAAGCCATTTAATCCGAGCACGTAGAGACTAAAATAAAGCCACACACCGTTTTTACAATAGGTACAATCACTTTTCTTTCTGCCATTTCCAATGACAGAGATAAAAACATTTTTGTCAGGGCAGAGGCAACTTTTGAGTTTCAGTAGCTCAACCACTGCCTCTGAGAAAGTGCACCAGTAGGCCCGTTTCTCAGTGGAACAACTACAAGACAAAGGTCTTTGTACAAATAGGTATGGAGGAGACATGAAAATGACCTGGTTGTTTTCTTCTGCTTGTTGAAGCTGGAGAACGAGGAGCTTGTGGTCGGGGAGGGAGAGTTCTTTCTGCAGAGGCTCTCCACTCACAGCCTCCAGCAGAGATAAAGACTTGCTTCTCTCTTCTCTGAGCTGAGCATAATCTTGAGCATCCAACTGTTGTAATTCTTGAAAAAGGATATTCTGCTCATCCACAAACTGCAAGAGACGCATGGAAAGAAAACACTGAAAACACAACAAAAGCCAATATAATCATCGGAGCTGAAACAAGGTCCAAGGGGGCTGAAGCAAATTCTAATCATGAGTCCGTTTTAAATAAAGGCTCAAACTACATGACAGACAGATGGACGTGTTTTTTGAATTTTGGATCAAAAGCATAGTAACCAAACAGGAAGTTTAGTATCTATGGTATGGACGGTAAGAGGGACAAGGGATGTGAATGAATCATTTTGACCTCTTCATCACTTTCTAATGTCCTCAAAATCCCCTCCCTGTGCTTCCACCTTATCGTGGTGGAGGGGTTCCAGTGTCCAGCCATGTTGTCCGGGGTTTTAAGCTCCTGGTAGTGTCACCCAGGGCAAAGAGGTCTTAGGGGAAGGATCAGCCGGAGCGCAGCCCAAAGACCCCGTATGATGATTTATGCAGAGAAATCTAGTCTCTGGATCCAGGCCTGGAGGTGGGGCACGATGGAGAGCGCCTGGTGGCCGGGCTTTAAACCATGGAGCCTGAATAGGCCACATGGGCCATCTTAAAGGTGGATGAGATTCGGATGGAGTTCCTCAGGGCTCTGGATGTTGAAGGGTTGCATTGGCTAACGTGACTGCAGTATGTTTATGTTTATGTTTATGCATTTGGCAGATGCTTTTATCCAAAGCGACTTATGACAGTATTGTGTGGACACCAGTTCTGCTGGATTGGCTGACTGGGGTGGTGGTCCCCATATTCAAAAAGGGGGACTGTAGAATGTGTTCCAACTATGGGGGATTCACACTTTAAAGTCTATTTGGCGGTTCTGGAGACGAGCGTCCATCGGATATTTGAACCTCAAATTGAGGAGGAGCAGTGTGGTTTCTGTGAAGAATGGATGGGTGGATGGCACTTTCTAATAATTAAGATCACATATACTTTGTTTCAATTGGATTTTTGTTTCATAATTTTCATTTATTTTTATCTTCAAATGTATATATGGACATGGAGTGTGGTGTTGAGCTAAGACTGATGAATATGTTGTTGTTGTTCGGGAGCACTGTGCTGGGTACCCCAGGAGATAACTTTATTATCGAGTTGGGGAGGGATTATAAAGCCTTGAAAATATGTGAATAATAAAATAATCTATGGGGTCTATTTTGTATTTCCTTGGCGGAGGTTCAATGGACAGGGGTCCACTGTGTTCCATATGCTGAAAAGCCCAGAAAAGGAGGAAGGTAAAGAGGCTGAGGCCCACCTGCAGAAGCTCCATTCTTCTCTGTGCCACCACGGATCTGCGCTCCAGCTCTCGTTTCAGGACGCCATCCAGCCCGCTGAAGTTATTCGGCTGGTTGCTGATCAAGGACTGTACCTCCACCTCAAGCTTCTCTTTCTCAAGAATCTCATCTTTCAACTCAGTCAGAAAAGAAGCCATGGTGATTGCCAGTTTCTCCAAAATGCTGTCCATTTTCTGTAAACATAAAAACCAAATCACAGTTTGTACTGTAAGAGCAACAGATCCATTGAACCCTCTGCTTCATCTCAATTGAAATCAAAATATTTTTGCTGAACTGATCTCTCAGTGCTTTCATTACTGTGGCTGATAAGTGAAAATCTCTCCACGTGCTTTCTGCCATTTGAGGTTTGAGTAGTGCTTTAATGTTGTTTTAATTCTACTGCAATATTACAATAAGACAAAAAGAGAGCTAGCTGTATCTTTAGGATGGCTTATTCCCTGTACAATAGATTAAGATTGAAAACACAGCAAGACTCAGACACATTTTGGTTCCAGGCTAAAGGAACAAAGAAAGCCACTGAGATCACAGAGTATTAGACCAAGTAAACCTTTGAATTCTGGACACCAACTCCCTCACCCACTTCACAGCAAACATACAACATGGCACACCATCACTTCTGCCTTCAAATAACAGTATGTCTGAAACCCCATGTCTGCTGCTACACTAAGCAACAAGGCCAATATCCTTTGATGCTACTCTTAACTGAAATGGTTGTAGCGTTTCTCCTTGCAGAGCTTTTTTGTTTCTTAGTAGAACTTCCCCATGTCTTTTGGATTCTTCTGGAATGAAAACTCTGTCCTAATTGGGAATGTATGATGCCAGAGTGTGGCAACAATAAGAGAGCCTTTAATCTATAAAATGTTGTATGAGGAGTTCCCTTTTTTCTCCCTCCCATAAGTCAAACCAGATGACCACCCCTCCTGATTTGTTTCTGTTAAAAGAGAATTGAAGAAAACAGAAGGGCTCACCTGCAGGTAGAGCTGCTGTTTTTCCTGAAGCTCTTTTTGTCGAAGTCCCCAAAGTGTTAGGGAGTGTTCATCTTTGACAGAAAGGTGGGGATCTTTAGTTCTGCAGAGCAGCAGGTCCTGTAGCCACTTCTCCCCAGTGGTGAATAAGGCTGTGTTCAACAGCGCCTCAAACATCCTCCTGTATTCATGTGCTCGCATATAGAGTTGCGACTGAGGAAGCACAGAGGAAAACCTTTAAATAAAATACCGAATAAAATTGAAACGTATCAGACTTTTTGAACTAAGGAATATATCTATATTTACCGGAATTGCGACAAACTTCTCCTTCTCCAGAGGCAATTGTCCGAAATGGAAGACTGCGTCATATGCATTCATGGTGGGCTCTGGGAGGGCCGTCAGATAAGAGTCCGTCACAAAACTCTGCAATAGTAGAGTCTTGTGCGGGAATCGGGATTGGCACTTGGAGCAAATGTCTTTGAATTGTTCAAGTTTTCCAAAGAACTCCTGAAAAGACGCAGGTTCACTGATATCAAAGACATGATGAAATCTTTGCCTTTTAACTTTGATTATACTCAGTTTTGTTGTGAACTGTTATTTTATGAACTAGACAGAGGCTTTCACATAAGAAGCAGCAGGTGCTAGGCTCCACTTTTATCCCCTGTAATGTGGATGTGTTTGACTCAATCTGAGCTGGAAACAGCCATGGTGAGGGTGAATTTTAGGACATCTTTTCCTGCCCTGAGCTTCACATAAATCTATGTCCTCAAAGCAGCTCATGATCTCCTCAACTCCTCTCCACTGCTGTGCACCAGGGGGACACAAAACACATTGCACACTATATGAAAGCCCCAGTGCATTACCGGAAGATAACCAGTAGAATTTGGAAACTGTAATGATGCTTTGGTCCTTAGCTTGAAGCTCTTCAATTCCTCTTTCAGGGCTGAGATGGTTTGGATTGCTTCATTGTTCAACTAGAAGGGAAGTAGCAAAGAAAGACAACAAATAAGCAAACATGCTAAATTAAAAGAAATCAATTAACAATAAGGTCAAATAAGTTAAACTTAATATCATATTTTGTTGGTTACCTGAAACAAAGATAATTATGTGAACCTCTTGATACGCGTGTGTCCTACATAAGGGGAATTAAACCACCAAAGACATGTGCAGAAATTCTATCTCTTGTCCCCGAGCTGTACTTTCATACAGTCATAAAGCCACAGCAGAAATAAGAATCAGTTTCAGCGCTCATCTCTCCCTGTGCATATGCACACAATACTAACTGAGAAAAGTCTGTCGGGAGGGATGTAAAGAAGAATGTGGAGTCTCATCAGAGCAGGTTTTGTCAGGACAGAATCAGTTCTGCTGATTTCAGTTTTTAGACTGAAATAGCCAGTTGGTTTTAAGGCCATGTCATATACCCTTCTCTTGAAAAAGGGGGCCTGGATAGCTCGGCATATCACACAAAACTTGGTATGAAATCACAGTAGTGAAGGCAGATCACCAACAATAGAAAATCAAATGAGAAAACAGCAACTGACACTAAACATTCAGCAATGTACATGGCATCAAAACCATGTTGTGCCCTTGTCACCAGTTCTTCACTGTTTAATATCACATTTTACAGTATATACAAAAGATTTGATTCACTCAAGGTGCCCTGGAGGTACCGACAGGTATGTGTCCCTCACGCACACAGACAATGGGAGTATAGGCGTTTACCTCCATTCAGCCACACTTCAAATAGATGTATCTGAAATAAAACCCTCTTCCCTATGCTGGTGTGCAAAGGTGGAAATTTGTGGAAAACAAACTTCCAATAAAATAGAACAAGAAACTTTCTTTGACAGAAAGTGAACCTATGAATTACAATCATCAGTTTTTACCATTTCTGTCTTGTTTTCGTCCCCTCTCTCTTCAGTTATGGATGTACTGCATGGCAGCTTCTCCAGCTCCACTTCCTTGGTCTGGGGGTTTGGTGAGGCACTCTCAAATTCTTGATCAAACATCTGAATGAGCAAATAATGACAGGAAAATAGTTTTAAAAAGCTATAGATACGACACAATATCGGTAATGTACATTTTCAAAATGATTTGAACATAGAAATGTGATCCTGCCTGGTGGCTCTGCTGCTGGATGGCAATCCCTGCATTATTCCCCCCGCTTTGTGTGCCCTCTGACTCTGCCTTTTGGCTCCTCAGCATGGTCACCTCCTCTTGTAGAACTTGGTTCTTTTCTTGCAGAATAGTCAGTTCCTTACGATTCTCTTTCAACTGAAAGATATAAAAAGTTCAAGAATACAGACGATATCGCAGAGTCAAAGTCTGAAACACATTCTGAGCAATGGAAAGTCATGGTAAAATAGCCCAGAGCAAGACAAACTGAAGGGTGCACAATAAAGAGGAGGTCACCTCTTCCTTCAGCTTGTTCAAACGGGTCTCCAGTTGTTGGATCTGTTGCAGAGCAGAGACACAAAGCTCAGTCCAATAAAAGTCCCAAAAATCCTGTTAGGGAGAGTGTATGCCATTTTTCTTTTACCATCTCCATTCTTTTCTCCAGCTCTGCGATGGGTGCCGCCTTCTCCTCTCTAAGGTGATTCAGAGCCTCCTGCAGCTCATCTCTCTCCTCAGTCAGAGATCTCACTTTGCACAGCAGCTTCTCCTCCTCCTCAGAGAAATGCTGGTGTAGGGCCCCCATCTCAAGGCTCACAGCGTGTTTCTCAGCTTGGGAATTTGCGAGCTTCTCAGAGAGAATCTTTATCTGAGAAAAAAAAAAAAAAAAAAAGAATTATTCAGAAAAATAATTCAGAATCTTTAGGAACAAAAATAGGAGGCTAAGAATAATGAACTGTTTATGTAACCTGTTGCTCAACATCCGATTCCTTCTGCTCATAAAGCTTCACCAGGTTTGAATGCGTTAGCTTTTGCTGTTGGAGGTCCTCTTCAAGAGCCTGTAAAAGCCCGTTGGTCTCTGCAAGCTGCATGAGAGTATGAAAGATCATGCTAGAGTTCTCTGAAAAGGGACAGAAATCAAAGGGAAAAATATGTCAAACTGAACAGAATCGACCTGCCGTTGCAGCACAGCTCGCTCTTCTTTGCTTGTTTTTTCCTTTTCAACGTGTCTTTGATTCTGTTGGGTGAGCTGCTCTTGGAGTGAATCTAGACACTTCTGAGTCTCCGCAGCCTATAAGGAGAAGAAAAGAACACATTTGACAAATGTTCCAATGCATTTATTATACTTGATATTTCTTATAAGCCCACAACTACAACAAAAGGATGAAATTACTTAGTGGAATCATTGCAAGGCTGTTTTTATAGAAAGAAAATAAAAAGACTACTCAAAGCACTTCATCTCAGTTTGATGAAATGTGAAATAAAACTCATTTGCAAACTACAGCCTCATGTTAATTATTTGTGACACAATGTAATGTACTATAAAAATAATGAGGACATGTCTCAGAGTTGTAAACCACGGCAAAGGTTAATTCCAAATGAATCTTTGAGTCAAATGGACAAAGATGGGATTCCTTTTTGCAAGGTACCCTATAATCTAAAGGTTAATTTATGTGGCTGATGTTTACACATTTTTTAATCACATATCTATAGGTTTTATGGGGTGAGTGCTTTCCTTCCAGCTATAGGCTCTACATGAAGCTACTTATGACATCAATGGTAGCTCAATCGTTTGAACTACAACAATATTTTTAGCTCTTTTTTTGTCCTTACCATCTCTCTGCTGTGCTGTAGCTCATCCTCAGTCTTGTTTTTCTCTTTTGTGAAGGCCTGTAGAGTGGTCTGCAGTTGTTCTATCTGCAGATAAAAACATGACACACTTTAAAGCAATTCTAAAGAATGTTGCTAATCTTTCTTTCGATCTTAAATATTATTCCTACGCAAGATATAGGCTTACATTCCAAATGGAAGCAGAAAATGTGTGCATTTTTCAGTAGGTGGATATGGGGTAGTAGTATTCATTGCCAGTGGAAGCATGGGTTGGTGTAGAGTGACTGCACCACGGGTTCGACAGACTGGTAAGAATGTGGACCCAGCTCTTTTTAAAGGGACAAAATATCGGGCAAAAGTAACACCTGCACCCCAAACTCCAAAACCCCTCAAGAAACAAGGTTGTAAGACTTTTTCAAAGTCAACTTTTTGTGGTCCACTGTTCCACAAACCACCCAACTTCTTAACAATCTGAAAGAGCCTCCTCTCCAACACCCTGGAGGACATTTTCCATGGGCCAAGTAGAGTGCTCGGCCTGTTGTTGGAACACATTTTCTGCTCCCCTTTCTCAAACATGGAGGGCATCCACTCCCAGACTTCCTTTAGGTGTGTCAGCCACGATGGCCCACCATGTCCAGATCTTTAAGCATCTGTCATCTTTCCGGAACCAGGTCATTTCTGACAAGGATTGCTGTGGTCCAAGCAGTGAAATTGCATAAAATCACATGCAGTTACTGCTTCTAGATTTGTCCCCTCTAGTTTAAGTTACCTTATGTTAGTCAGTATGTTAGCAGTAAAGTTGCCATTTCGTTTGGTCCACATTGGTTTTAGAGTGCAAGAGAAGACTAAAAGGATATCTGAACGAAAAAACAAAACAAACCATCTTTGTCCTGTCCTCCATGTCCTCTCGGAGCTGGGTCTTGTCCCGCCTCAGTTCCTCCAACATCCTGTGGAGCT